TTTTGTTCATAAATTGGATGCCAGTTCTGATTTCCATGAGGGTTTTTCCTTCATTTTCTAAGGTTCTTATGGTATGAGGTTTTACATTTAAGTCTCTGATCCATTTGGAATTAACCTTTGTGCATGGGGATAGATAGGGGTCCTGTTTCAATCTTCTGCATGTGGTCAGCCAGTTTTCCCAGCACCATTTACTGAATAAGTTCTCCTCTCCCCAATGGAAAGTGGTGGCGGCTTTGTCAAAGATGAGTTGGTTGAGAAATTGAGGTTTTGCTTCTCGAATCTCAATTCTATTCCATTGATCTATATGCCTGGTCATATACCAATACCGAGCTGTTTTGATGATAGTAGCTTTATACTACAGTTTGAAGTCTGGTAATGTGATACTACCTGCTTTGTTTTTTTTTTTCCTGACAACTGTACGGAATACTAATGAGAATAGCAGCAGACTTATCTACAGAAACACTTCAGGCTAGGAGAGCTTGGAGCCCAATCTTCAAAGTTTTCAAAGATAAACAATTTCAACCATTACCTACTCAACTAAGCAAAGCTTCATCAATGATGGAGAATTTAAAAATTTCCTAGACATTCAATCCCTAAAAGCTTATACTGCCTCCAGACCAGCTCTATAAGAAACACTTAAGAAAGTATTAGGCCGAGGTGAATGAATTGCCTGAGCCCGTGGGTTCGAGACTCGCATGGGCAACTTGGCAAGACCTCATCTCTAAACCAAAAAAATTAGCTGGGCGTGGTAGCACACGCCTGTAGTTCCAGCTACTTGGAAGGCTCAGGTGGAAGGATTGCCGGAGCCCAGCAGGTCAAGGCTGCAGTGGCTAGGAAGTGGCCACTGCACTCCAGTATGGGCGATAGAGTGAGACTCCAGCTCAAAAAAAAAAAGAAAGAAAGAAAGTATTAAACACAGAAGAAAGGAGAAAAAGAATGACAATGCCCTTCACAAGAATGCAGGGAAAAGATTGAAAACACACGAATCAACCAAAATATCAAAAGAAAGACAACAAACAAACACCACCAACAACAACAAATGCTATAATAACTCTCACATCTCAATAATTAACTTGAATGTGAATGGACTAAATGTACCACTGAAAAGACACAGAATGACAAAATAGATAAAATATCATGAGGCAACAATATATTGTCTCCAAGAGACTCATCTCACCAGAATGGACACTCACAGACTCAAAGTAAGAAGATAGGAAACAAAATTTCAGGCAAACAGAACACAAAAGAAAGCAGGAGTCAAAATCTTAATATCAGACAAAATACCCCTTAAGTTACCAAAAATTTAAAAAGATATGAAAGGTCACTACATAATGATAAAAGGTTCAATACACCAACAAGAAATACCCATCCTAAACATATATGCACACAACATAGAAGCACCAACTCTCATAAAACAGTTTCTAGGTAAACTTAAAAAAGATATTAACTCTAACACTATTATAACTGGGGACTTAAATACCCCACTCACAACCCTAGACAGATCATCAAGACAAAAATCAACAAGGAGATCCAGAAGCTCAATGTGATGCTTGATCAATTGGACTTAATTGATACCCACAGAACACTCCACCCAACAACCATTGAATATGCATTCTACTCATCACCACAAGGAACGTACTCTAAGATTGACCACATCCTCGGCCATAAATCAAGCATAAACAAATTCCATAAGATTGAAATACTGCCATGCACCTTTTCAGACCACAGTGAAATAAAAATAAATGCCAATATCAACAAAGTTCCCCCCAAAACCCACAAAGACATGGGCACTAAACAGCATGATGCCAAACAACTCCTGGGTCAACTTGGAAATCAAAACAGAGATAAAAAGATACATGGAAACAAATGAAAATAAAGAAACATCTTACCAAAATCTCTGGGATGCCATGAGAGTAATACTAAAAGGAGCATTCATATCTCTACAAACACATGAAGAAAATGGAAATATCACAAGTTAGCAGCCTTACAAATCACCTAAGGAAGCTGGAAAACCAAGACCACCAAAATCCTAATTTCAGCAGAAGAATCCAGATCACCAAAATAAAAGCCCAAATTTGGGACATAGAAGACAAAAAGATAATACAAAAAAAAAATCAATGAAACAAAAAGTTGATTCTTTCACAGGATAAAAAAGATTGATAGACCCATAGTTGGAATGACCAAGAAAAAGAGAGAAAAAACTCAAATAAACATAGTCAGAAATGCAAAAGATCAAATCACAACTGACCCTGAAAAAATACAAAAGATTATCAGAGACTACTATGTACACTTGTATGGAAACAAACTTGAAAACCTAAAGGAAATGGAAGACTTTCTGACATCACACAACCTCCCCAGGTTAAAACAAGAAGAGGAATCGAGACCCAAATAGACCAATAACAATCCAGGAAATTGACTATGTCATAAGAAAACTACCTACAAAAAAAGAAAAAAAAAGTCCTGGGCAGATGACTTTCCAGCAGAATTCTACAAAACATACAAGGAGAAACTAATCCTGTTGAAAGTTCCAGGCAATTGAGAAAAATGGAACTCTTCCCAAATCATTTTATGAAGCTAATGTCACATTGATACCCAAACCAGGTAAAGATCCGACAAAGAAAGAGAACAACAGGCCAATATCCTTGATGAGCATGATGCTAAGATTCTCAACAAGATCCTAGCAAAACAGATCCAACAACACATCTCAAAAATCATTCACCATGACCAAGTAAACTTCATCCCTGGGATGCAGAGCTGGTTCAACATCCATAAAACCATAAATGTAATTAAATGCATCAACAGATGTAAAAACAAAAACTACATGATTATATCATTAGATGCAGAAAAAGCTTTTGATAAAATTCAGCACCCCTTTCTGATAAAAACCCTTGAACATCTAGTCATAGATGGAACATACCTCAAAATAGTAAGAGCCATCTATGAGAAACCCACAGTCAGCATACTGCCAAACAGACAAAAATTAGAACCATTTCCCCTGAAAACCAGAACAAGACAAGGATGCCCACTCTCACCTCTCCTTTTCAACATAGTTTTAGAAGTCTTAGCTAGAGAAATCAGA